AGGTAAATCAGTTTCCTAATCATTGACCAATCCTAGAGAAATCCAGGACACCAATTTTCAGGCATTCCCAGCCAGATGCTGTTTTTCTGATCTCAAAAATACCTTGTAAATAGGTCATAATATTCAGTGGCCCCTGCCTCCCTTGTATGCTGTGAAGATGCATGTGTTTCTCCTCATTAACCTGGCCGAGTCTGTAAGGCAAGGCTCTCTGCCGGCCAGAACTCCTTGGTGACTCTGAGACTCACCAAGTTTGCCAGCTGCTGATTAGGGACCATTGTAATGTTCATCATGGTGTCATTTAGTGACGTCGTTGCAGCTGTGCTTCTGGAACTGGAATTTCCAGTGAATTGTCCCAGGCTACTATGCCTCCCCTCGATGTTTTTCCAGATCCTCCCACAAATGAAGAACTCCAGGTTGTCCCTAATAGTAGTGATTATCAGAGAGTAGAATGTGCAGAGACTTCTACTTTCTATCCCGTACAATTCCGTAGGCATTATTTATAGCAAGCATATTTTATAATTGGCTGAAAAAGGAGCTGAAGAGATTGAGAGGCCAGATAACCCAAGTTGTTAAATTCATGAGTTTAATCTTACCCACAATATTGAGTCAGTGGCTCAGGCAGACTGAAGAAGGTGAATCGAAGAGCCAAGTGCCAGGTTCTTGCTGTGCCTCTAGCCCCCGCCACACACCCTCTTGGCAGGTTTTCGGTGATGGCGGTCAATCCCATCTGCCCTCTGTTGCTAGCTATGGGATAGTAATTACAGGCAGCCTAGCTGTGTCTAGATGAATAAATCTGGTGTCTTATAACAATGAAATAAAATATTGCAAGTACAGATGTTCCAGAGAACATTTACTGTTATTCGAGTTACCAGGGATCACTATAAAATAGTCCTTATTTGCTCTCCCCAAGTTTTTGGTAATAAAGGACGGGGCTTTGTAATTTGTTGTATTGCATGCTTTTAACATAGGAAAAAAGTGACTTTCCAAAAGCTCTGAATGCTACTGCAATAAATAGTTTAGGAATAGCAGTAGATCACATACCGAGAAGTCTGTCATGATCAAAAAAGTAATATCTCATTATTCATTCACAGTAAATCTATAAATATTTGCTCATTTTGTTAAAAGGTCAAAAGCCATAAACAGCCTTGATAAAAGATATGATGGTATATCTTTGTAAGCAAATCTACCCTGTTCTCTAAGTGGAAAATTTCTTTGTCCCCTCTGTATTCTCTGCTTATGACAATCGAGATTCAGCCACCAATGTTAGTTTCTCCTTAATATTTGAAATAGTAAAGAAGAAGTGATTATGAATTGAACAGGAAGTAGCTATACATGTTGGCCATGCTAATAATCTAAATTTAACTGTCTAAATGGATTACAGTACTTCTGTCTTTAAACCCATTAGGATTTAGAAGCCTTGGGCTGCAGTTCAGCTTCTGAAATACTGTTGTCTCTATTTAGAAACTACAAGTCTGACCTTTAAGGCAGGACAATTTTACTTCCATAGGTCATGGAGATGGAGGGACTCTGTTAAGATTACTGAGCAATGAAGTCGTGTGCAAAGAGTACATATTTAGGCCCGTTTGGATTTATTTGGGGAGATCCCCAGGGTTTGTCACAGAAATTCTGAAGTTTAAATTCAGTCTTTCTGACTGACAATGAAAGTGGTCTAGGTCTTATGGAAAGATGTCTGTGGCTTACAGGCTCAGTTAATTGTGGTCATTCTAGAATTTTTGAGAATATTATCTCTAAATTAAGTGACTCTAACTCATTAAACAAACAAACAAACAAAAATCCTAAATCCGCTGAACTTTCTCTGCCTTGCAGTCACTTTGCTATAAGATTCAGTGTCTTTTATTATTAGAATGGGAAATTTAATTCAAAGAAAAGGCTTATAGTCTGACTCAGGGTGAAAAAACTGTACCTCTTTAAGATAATAGTTGCTATTTTTAGACTGACTTAAAAAGAGATGAGAAATAGCAATGCTTCTAACCTTCATCTAGCCTTAGACATGAGTTGATACGTTTTCTAGACCATCTAGTTATTAACTGGTTACTCCAGATACATTTTTGGAAAATATTATTAAAGATATTTTTAAAAATATGTCTGTCGTAATGAGTAACTGACTCATTTGACTCTTCCCATTAAAAAATAAATATCAACACTTACTAAACAAAAATAGATTTTCCATAGTAAAACTTGGTCAGAACAATGGCACATTCCTGGGCCTGGGATTCAAAAGTGAATATTAATTCAAAGCAGATGGATGCTAGAATTGAGAATAAGACAGTCCGGTCACCCTGCTGTGGCCTTGCAGAATTCGATGTACAACAATATTTTGCTGCTTCTCTGTCCTTTTATCGAGAGACTGTAAAAATACATAGATTTTTTTTGCCCTCTGTGTCTAAGCTTTAGCGGTCAAGAAAAACTCCCAGAGGGATAATGCTGCTTTAACACAAAAGGTAGACCCAGTCCCTCTAACATATGTTTTCTGGTTACTTTTCTCCTACTCAGCTCACTTTCCAGGCTGGATTTTAAACATGTTATTGTTTATTTCAGTTCCTTCCACAGTTCACGTAGTGTGGTCCTTGGTTACGCTTATGGGGCACTACCGATAAACAGTGTAAAAGGGCATCATGAAATTATTATGAGTTCATTTGCTTACAAAAGCAGTCATATAGCCAAAACGTAGATATCATTGGAGATTCTGGGAGACCGGGAGGAAGATGGTCACAGCTTCTTCCACCCAGGTGGTGCTGGCTGCCTCTCCAGTTCTCAGTCAAACATTCCGTGGATGGATTTATTGTCAGGAAGCGTTTATCTGCTCATGAGGGCTGTGCGTGTACTCACATACATAAATACGTCCCCATATAGAATCATGACGTTCCGATCTCATT